TGGAACTTGCTGCTGGTGTAAAGCAGGTGAGGTTGGTAAAAAATGATGACAAATATTAAATGAAAGGCAAAGTAAGAGTAGAAAGGAATGACAAAAATAAATGAAGGTTAAGAACTGCTTATTGTGAGGTCACCAAAGGGGGGTTGTAGTCTGGGAACAAAAGCGATGGGATTAGTTGAAGTTTGCAACCATAATTAACTAATGTGTTAAATAGGATGTGACACAAACTGGTGAGGGACACCTTGAGTGCTGTGTCCCTCAGTTTAGGAAAGGCATCGAGGGGAGCGTGTCCAGAGCAGGGACCGGAGCTGGGGAGGGGCTGGAGCAGCAGGAGCAGCTGAGGGATCCTCAGGCTCTCCCCACGCTCCTCACATGGCAGTAAATGTGGGAGCAGGTCCCACATCTTCCAGAAGCCTTCAGGAGAGTTATTTTCTGCCCAAGCTCCCCCAGCACTCGTCACTATGGGATCCCTGCCCACGCCGGGGCTTCCCAGGAGCTGTCCCAGAGCTGAGGAGAGTCAGGGGCTGTGCAGTCCCTGGTGAGACTGAACCCGGGGGCATTCCCTCATTAACCAGGATCTGAGTCAGCAGGTGGGAAGATGAGGGTCTGGCATTATGGGAACGTTGTCACCATTTTTTGACAATGTTTCTGATTTTTCTGACAGTGAAAAATTGCAGGTTTTTTGCTGGAAGCCTTTGAGAAGTGACGAGTTTCCGTTATTTTCAACTAGAAAGTTGCAATTTGCTTGTTTGGTGGGTGTTTAGGGACAAGACTCTGTGGCTGCTGTGCCATGAGGACAGAAACTAGACAGGATGTTTAACTTCAATTTATAAGGAAGATACATTGGAGGGGCCTCCTCTGTGGGGTTGGGAGGAAGTGCTGGACTGATGCTCCATCTCACCAGTGTAGAGTTCCCATGGAACAGCACTGGAATAGGGAGGAAAAATAGTTGTGGTGAGGCAGGGTGAGCTGCAGAGCAGAGGGATGGACTGGGATGCTCTGTGAGGAATTGGGTGCCCAGGATATGCCACAGCATCCCTGTCCCAGCAGAGGTGCTCTGGCAGCAGCTGTGGATCAGGTTTAGCCAAAAGTGGGGACTTTTTGCCTCCACCACCCTGCAGGCTCTGTGCTGTCTCAGGGCTCTCCTGTCAGTCCTGCAGACAGGGAAATGAAGTGAGTCACAGGATGAGGGCAAACACCTCATTCCCTGAGCCTGGGGCAGCCACTGGAGCAGCTTTGCATCCTCTCTGGTTTATCATCCCCATTATCTCCTGAAGGGATTGTAGTTGATATTTTGCAGAAGGCTCTGCTGACGATGTGTTATTGACATATTCTTAGCTTAAAACCATTATCATGGTAAACCCCTGGATTTAAAAACTAATTACAAGACATTAATAGCTGAGCCTAAGAGCTAAGTCATGCAAATATTGCTGCCTGCAAAGGGGAATGCACACAAATGTTTGAACTGCTGAGTTAGGAGCTGGAGTCTGGAGGGTGGCAATAAATCCAAGCCCAATCCTTTGCCTTGTGTCCTGATGTGTCCGTGAGATTAATGGCACCGTCGGTATGAAAGTCATATCAGGGAACGTGGCTATTTTCTTCCCCAAGTAGGTTAATTATCACTAATGTAATTATTTTTGTACTGTTTTTTGTTTTAATCAAACATTGCATGAAACAATTAAGTTCAGAACAAATGGCTTATTAGGGGAATGTTTGTGGCGCTGGGAAGAACAGCAGCGACGTTTGAATTATGCACTTCTATTGAGTTACTTTATTCATTAAAATGAACAATTACATTAGGCCTTATGAGACAGACTAAGCATTTCTGGTTAATGTTTGTTCCGTAGTGAACATAATGAGAATTTATATCGCAAATGGATCCCATCCCTCTGGCTCGAGGCGTTTAGGAACTGGGCCATTCCTAGGAGTTGGGAGAGCTTGGGGAAGAAGGAGAGTTAACCCCTGGCCCAGGTGCTGCTGCATTGCCCCGTGGTGGGGGAGGGAGTTTTTGCTTTTCTTTGGGGTTTTTCACTTGTTTGTTTGTTTGCTGCTTTCCTGGTTCTGGTTTGGGGTTTTCTCCTGCACACTGTGCTGGCAGGGCCGACCACGGTGCCCCACTGCTGGGCCCCTGGAGCACGGCCAGCTTCCAAGTTCTGTTTTCATCAGCTCTACTGAATGTCCTACAATGAATCTATTGTGGTTTAGAGGGTTTTTTTCCCATTTATCAGATCAATCCAGCAGTGCATGAACTGTCATGGCCTGCTCATGATGCTGTTGAAGATGTGCCACTTGACATGTCAATAAGCAGGTGATGGGCAAATATGTGATTTTCCAAGACATTAGACACATCTCTACAGCATCTGGTGCAGTTTAGGTTTTGCATCCTTCCCAAATTCAGCAGAATTGCCATGGAGAGGAGCTCCTTGTGTCCCCCAGCACTGACTGGGTCCAGTGCTAAGCTCAAGATGTGGAACTGTGGGCTCGCTGTGAGTACAAGGTGTCTGGCTGCCTCTGGAAGTGCTGTTGGCTTGGGAAAAAATAAATTCCCTTGTCCTCTATGTGCCAGCTTGACATAAGACTGAAATGGAAGGTTCTACAGAAAAAACCCAATTTTTTTATTAATTGCAAAAGTACTTTCTCATGCTTTATGAAATTGTTTGCTTCCTGCTTTGTAGACTGTGATTAGCATTTTCAGATCATCCTTGGAGGTATTAAAAAGATGTGTAGATGTGGCACTTAAGGACAAATTTTCTTTCAAAATTATGCTTTTGTGAGTGGGGAAAGTGCCTCTGGTTTGACTGAGGTTCTTACCTCCTGTGCAGGTGCTGGTGCCCAGCACATTCCCTCACAGGCACTTTGTATCATTACTTTTCTCACCAGAAAGAGCAGAACTCTGCAAATCATTCTGAGGCCAGTGAGGAGGTCTCGTGGTGTCTCTCCAGGAGGCCAGAAAAAGGACTTTCCACACTTTTACCCCATCTTGTATTTCTCTCTCTACACACAGTATCCGTGCAGAATAAAGCACCTTTAGGCTGTCCCAGGTCCCAGCAATGCCGTGGAATATGTCTGAGAATATGGAAATTCATCCTTTTGTAGCCATAAGGGGAAGCAGGGATGTGATAACACATTAATCAGTCTGCGGTTCTGAAGATATTAGCATGTGGAAAATTGTGAAAATCATTTCCTTGCTGCAGACTGGGTCAAAATCTGAGCAGTTGGGATGATGTTCTCATTTTGTATCGATGTCTGCTTCAGAAAGGGCATGAAACAACCTCTGTGGGTAATAGTTATGACAGAAAATGGAGGCTCTGGACTGGGTCAGTGACTCACTCGCTAGGTATAAACACCCAGGTAAGCTGTAGTTCCCCTGTCTCAGTCCACCTTGGAAAAGGGCAAAACACAGATCAGGGATTGAGAAGAGGGAGCAGCAGAGGGTCAATCAGGTGGTTTCTTAAGGAATTGCCATGAACTTTTCCCACCTGCCTTAGGGGTCAGAGATCCCAGCCCTGGTTCTCTTTCCTCACCATCTCTTTGGGTCTCTGCACTGGCACCACCTGTGCCTCTGCAGGGAGTCAGGGATGTGGGCACGTACCAGTTCTCCAACTCTCCTACAGGGCATTCCCACAGCCCAGGAACTCAGCTCCAGCTCTGTAGGGGCTGTTACCATTGTGTTGGAGCAGTGATGGAGTCAGGCATGGAAATGGATTTCCTGGCTCCTTCCACTTCCAGAAAGACCAAAGTACAATTTACCAGTGCAATTAAATGAGTCATTTCCCTTTATCATCAGCATTCCTTTGCCTTCTGCGAGCTGCACACCTTCAGCTCAGCACAGCATGAAAGGAGGGTTCATGGATCTTTCTCTTTTCCAGGGTATTGAAGGTTAATGAAGTTTCCCAGGCAGTGGCAGAGCTCCGGAATATCCGTTATGGAGGGATTATTTTCCAGCCTTCACAGAGAGACTCTTGGCTCTCCAGTGTTTGAGCAGTGTGTGACTGCAGGGTTTGGGTTTTTCACATGTATGAAATTAGGATGATACAGGATCTGTTTTGAATTAAATTAGGAAAGTGCAACTTAATCCTTCAATTTAAGCCTTGCAAACCCCAGTCTTCCTGAGTTGGTAGCTGGTGCTGGCAATGCCAGGACCTTCCCAGTAGTTCCAGTCTGGACTGTTTCATGGGGGCTCCAATGCTGAGCCCCCCTTGTTCCTGGAACCTGGTGAGTGGCTTTAGTCTGACATAATTTGAAATGATTTGTGAGTCTAATTTTCCACAGTACTTGGGAACCTTTGTCACATACTTTGGAGTTCAGGATTCTCCAGACTGCAGAACAAGTGAGACTTTCCCTACATTTAATGTAATCATTTATCATTTGCATTCCCAGAAGCATGTGTGGTATTTCAAAAGCTGAATGTGACTTTGAAATGAAATATTATTTAATTATTGCAGTTTTCATTGGTGACCATTTTCTCTGTCCTTCATACTTCTTACCTGGTTCATACTGCAGACCTTGCCATGTTCCCACTGATCCCATGCCCTGTATAAAACACATTTCCACCTTATTTAAAATATTCACCTGGTCAGCCACAGTTCCAGGAAGGAGATCTCTGTTTTGGTCTCGGTAAGAAGTGCCAGGTTTCGTGGAAAGCATTTGTGAATGTGAGTCCTGCCTTCCCTCGAGCACTGCAGCGTTCTTATTAGTTGTCACAAACAAGAGGTTTTCACTCCACAGTTTTATCTGATGTTGTGTGTCATTCCACCAGAATTAACCACTAACAAAAATGAAAAATGGAGGCAGCAAACATTGTTGTGCATCAGAGTCCCTTGCAAAGACACCCGTGTGTGCAGTTCCTGCAGCGTTTCCAGGCGTCCGCAGCCTAAAGAGTTTATCCAGTGGGGTTTTTCCCATCGAGGTTCCCCCTTAGTCCTCCCCGCTGTGGTTCCCCCCGGGGTTTGTGGCAGTGCCACCTGACTGAGGGTGTGTTTCTGTTCCCTGTGCCGCAGGTGGAGGAGATGCAGTGGGGCGGGGGCGTGCGGGAGGTGCCGCCCTCGGTGTGCAGCCTGCCCTGCAAGCCCGGCGAGAGGAAGAAGATGGTGAAGGGGATGCCCTGCTGCTGGCACTGCGAGCTGTGCGACGGGTACCAGTACCAGGCGGACGAGGTGACCTGCCTGCTCTGCTCCTACAACGAGCGGCCCAACGAGAACCGCACGGGCTGCCGCTCCATCCCCATCATCAAGCTGGAGTGGCACTCGCCCTGGGCCGTCATCCCCGTCTTCCTGGCCATGCTGGGGATCATCGCCACCATCTTCGTCATGGCCACGTTCATCAGGTACAACGACACGCCCATCGTGCGCGCCTCGGGCCGCGAGCTCAGCTACGTCCTGCTGACCGGCATCTTCCTGTGCTACATCATCACCTTCCTGATGATCGCCAAGCCCGACGTGGCCGTGTGCTCCTTCCGCAGGATCTTCCTGGGGCTGGGCATGTGCATCAGCTACGCGGCCCTGCTGACCAAGACCAACCGCATCTACCGCATCTTCGAGCAGGGCAAGAAGTCGGTGACGGCGCCCCGGTTGATCAGCCCCACGTCCCAGCTGGCCATCACCTCCAGCCTCATATCGGTGCAGCTCCTGGGGGTCTTTATTTGGTTTGCGGTTGACCCGCCCAACATCATCATAGATTATGATGAGCAGAAAACTATGAACCCCGATCAGGCCAGAGGAGTTCTCAAATGTGACATTACGGATCTACAAATCATTTGTTCCTTGGGTTATAGCATTCTGCTAATGGTGACGTGCACTGTGTATGCCATCAAGACTCGGGGTGTCCCAGAGAATTTTAATGAAGCCAAACCCATTGGATTCACTATGTACACTACCTGTATAGTATGGCTTGCCTTCATTCCAATATTTTTTGGCACTGCCCAGTCAGCTGAAAAGGTAGGTGAGAGTGAACAGACCTGATATTCAGGACTCACTGTGGTTCTAAGGACGTGCTGATGTTCAGCTTTACATGGATTTCCAGATGAGCTCTCCAGCCAGCTCATTCCCGAGGCACAGGCAATATATGGCACTGTTTTCCTTCCCCATTTAGCTCGTGGGTCATTCATTTATAAACTGGCAAATGATCAATAACAATCACATTAGCCATTAGTTTTATTGTTGCATCCATTTCAATTGTATCCTTTCAGTAAGATAAGTGGGAATTAGCTGTCATATTATCCAGAAAGAGGCATCTCCTAACTCAATCATTTTGAATACCAGATGTAAGCAAGAAAACTCAAAAAATACTCAGAAGACTCCTGTGCCTCTGGAGTTGGGCACTGAGGGAGTGCACAGCCTGCTGAGTGCTCTGTGTCACAAACAGCAGCCCCAGGGCACATTTACAGCACAGACTGGGCATGGATGTCATAGCATGCTGTCTGTGATCCCCAGTCCCTGAACCCACACTTCTCTGTGCAGGAAAGAGCTTTGGCTTCTTGTTTCTTTTCTTGCCTCTATCTTCACTCAGCATTTGTTCTTGAACACAAAATTCAGGTGAGCTCAGCACTGTGGAGGGAATTATTGTGTCCCTTTAATGAGTGAGCAAATGTCAGGTCCCGGCTAACACACCTCACTTTGAGCTGGGGTAGGATTTCCACATTTGCAGTTGTTAAACTCCCAGGCTGTTGAGGGGAGGCTGCAGGAAGACAGTGCTGTCACCCAGGCAGGTCTGTGCTTTGGCTCCAGGTCTCTTCCATAGGAAGGTGCTGCACCAGTGCTTTGTTCTTTCCAGTTTGGGAGATTGGCTGTACAGATTTGCAGTTGTTTTGGCCTCAGTTTTGTCCCTCAATGGAAAAGGAGATCACTCAGGAGGAAGTTTGCTGGAAGAGGGGATCACCCAGGCTCACCCAGGAGGACACAGAGGTTATAGAGAGGTTTCTGTGTGTCGTCTCACCTCTGCAATGGGCTTTCCATGCAGCCATTGCATCCCCAAAGGGAATTAATTTCAGCTGGAAAGGAGGTCTGCCAAGGCTTACAAACACTTCAAATAACTCTGCTCTCCCTGCCAAGGGAGAGATAAGAAGCAGCAGAAACAGCTTTAACCACAGTGGGGTCTGTTTGTGACCTGGGTCTGACACAGGGAGTGTGGAGCAGCTTTTGGGCTCCCTGCCTGGCAGTGGGGCCTGCAGGTGACCCACATGAAGGGCTTTAAACTGTTGTCTGCAAAGATGTAACGGGCTGGTAAGAAAACACAAAGAATTCCCAGGGCTGCTGCCGGCATCCAAAGCCATTGGGAGCAAAAGCTTCAGGTTTCCCTGTGCTCGCAGAGCTGAATTACCCTGGGCTGGGAAAGCAGCAGATTCGTGCCCAAATTGCCATAGCACAGAGAGGAGATGATGATGAACCTGATTTGCTCTAGAGCACAGAAGAGGGTCCGGGGCAAAGGCTGTGCCCCAGCCCGGGGTGCCCCTGCCCAGAGCTGGGGGGACACTGGGGACGAGGGACAGCAGTGTCCCCTGGCTGCCTGTGCTGCCAGGGCTGTGCCCTGCTCCTTGGGCTGGGAGCTGCCCTGTCTTGTCTGGCAAACAGGAGTGATCCTCCCTGGGCAGGGGGCACTGGGATGTCCTTGGGTGCAGTCCCTGTGTCTGTCCCCTGTCGGTCTGTCCAGCTCCCATGGCACTGGAACCCTCAGCTCCTGGCCCAGCACACGGTGCCAAACCCCCATGCCTGTGCTCCTGGGGCTTTCCCTCCTGCCCTGCAAGAGGTGGAGCTGCAATAGCTTTTGTGCTTTGCTTTCTTTTCCATCTCCCTTTTTTGAGTGGGAGTTGTACTTTTTGGTGATTGTTAGTGATTTCCTGTCAGATATTTCCTGGAAAATATTGTGCTGTAGCTTAGCCACAGAGGCCTGGGCTGAAATGGAAATTGCACCTGCTGAAAATCTCATGCAGCACAATCTTTTAAACTGAGGAATGGTGTTATACATAACACTGTGGTTTTCGTTGTGTGGATTTATTTTATTTTATCAATAAATACAAGCATAATGTTGTTTGGTAGAAAGCATATTGAAAACACCTGCCTTGTTCAGGATAGAGAATAACACCTCCAACAACAAAAAAAGAACTCGAAATGTGCTGCAGGTAATTCATAGAAGGCAAATAAATTGAGCAGTAGCATTTGCAGCAGGTGGAGGGAGGCAGGAAGGTGTGAGGAAGGCCAGATACCAGTCTGTGCTACAGGATGGAGATAAAACATGAGGTGTATGGAAGATGGCATGGGGAAAAGGTAATTACAGACCTTTTAAACCAGTTTCTTTGTCCAGTATCCAAAAACTGAGAGAACACATGGCTGGTTATGATTTATAGGTCAGTTGTGGTTTATAGGCTTAGTTTGGTAATGCAGCAAGTGGATTCCTGGGGCTGTGGAATGTGGTTGTCCCTCCCATGTTTCACCACCCTTTGGAGTTTCCTTGGCTCTGCTGCCAGGGATTGTCCAGGACTGGGGGGTTTGTGTGTCGGGGTGGGGGGGTTTGTGTTTTCCTATACATTGTATATATCCCAAAATATGGGATATATGACCTTTGAGGATCAGGACACAGTACTGGGGACTGGAACTGTGCCATGGCTTTGCTCATAAAGATCCTTCCTTTAGTGTGGATTCTGTAGAAAGGCACTAAGAGGCTTTAAGCAGAAGGAGGGGAGATTTAGATGGGATATTGGGAAGGAATCCTTCCCTGGGAGGGTGGGGGGGTCCTGGCACAGGGTGCCCAGAGAAGCTGGGGTTGCCCCAGCCCTGGAAGTGTCCAGGGCCAGGTTGGACGGGGCTTGGAGCAACCTGGGCTGGTGGAAGGTGTCCCTGCCCATGGCAGGGGGTGGCACTGGATGATTTTTAGGTCCCTTCCAACCCAAACCATTCCATGAACTGCACAGAGGAGTCCCTATGAAGCAGAGGGGTCACATCCTGTCCAACTTTGAGCTCCCAATGCTCAGAACCATCTCAGGGAGGGTTTGGGCTGAGGACAGGACAGGGTGTCCCAGCTCCTCCTCCCGCCCAGCCCCTGCCTTGGATCATTCAGATGTTTGAGAGGCACTGCAGAGATAAAACGCAGCTTTTGCACTCCTGGTGTAATTGTTTTTGACAACAAAACTCTTTTAAATTCTCCCTGGATGTGTGGGGATCTTATCAGAGGCCAAGTGAGCTCGCAGAGCTGTTGAAGCAATTACAGGAGTCAGGGCTGGAGGCAGAGTCGATACCAGGCGGCTCCTGAGCTGAGCAGGGGTTGCTGTGCCAGGGCAGGAGCTCAGGAGATCAATAAGGGGTTGCTGTGCCAGGGCAGGAGCTCAGGGGATCAATAACCCAGAGCAGGGGAGGAATTCCAGCAGGGCAGTGGCAGGATGGGGGGTGTGGGGATGTGTCCTGCCCAGGGATTCACTCATCCTGCAGCCTCCTGGTCCCTGTGCCCTGCCTGGGGTGGAGCTGGTTTGCAGGGCAGGGCACTGCTGGGGGATTGCTGGCACTGCCTGGGGCCAGGTCCCCGTGTCCTGTCCCTGTGTGTGGCACAGGCACCCCCAGGACCCCGGGCTGGCACTGCTGTGGTGACAACTCGTGTACTCCTTCCCTGGGCAGGCTGTTCCTGGCAGGACACACTCTGGAGATGCGTTTGAGATCAACCTGGTTTCACAAAGGCACGTGTTTTAATTTCTTGGGGTTACTTCTTTTTGTTGCCTTTCTTTCCCAGACACCTTCAGGAGCAGCAGCGTGGCAGGGGCTGGGACATGCTCTCACACACCCTGGGAATGCCACCTCACAGTGGCACTAATAGTTTGATTTTTTATTATTAGTCTCTCTTGCAGTGTAATTTTTTTTTAAAGCCTTACACAGGTGCAGATTTCCAGAGTCAACACTTCAATGGTACAAGCAAAGTGAAGGGGAAAAACCATCTGTAGCAAAATCAATGTGAAATGTAGAGCTCTTAAAAACACTGGTTTGCTTTTTCTGCCCCTAGAAGTCAATTTATTGTTAGAAAAACCAATACTTTTCAGCACTAATTATTACCTTTTTTTTTAACCTTTGTCATATAAGTTGTGATTAAGTGAATATTAAGTTGTATTTGTGATTAAGTGAATGTTAGAAGGTGGCTGAGGCAGGTGGATAGAAGTTCACCTCCCAGATCCTCAGCCAGTGAAGCAGTTGCCCTTCAAGAGATGCTTCATCCCTCTCTTCCTTTTCATTTGCAGGAGAACCTCCCAGAAAGGTACCTGAGGTAAAAAGCACATCCTGAATTTTAAGTAAGGTTTTGGCAGTAATTATTTGAACAGCACTTGCACAGGAAGGATGTGCTAGGAGGCTGGGAATGTTGGATTTGGGTGTACTGGTGTGGGGCACGGAGATCAGTAGGGCAGGAGGAATTCCATGTGTTCCAGGAATTCCCAGGGGTTGTGTTCAGGAGCCTTGGATATGGTGAGTTTTCTCTTGCCACTGTCTTCTCCCTCTCTTCTCCCACTGTTCAGCTGGAATTGTGAAGGACTGTGAGATCACGAGCTATTTTCTGCCCCTCTGGCTCTTTAGCATCACCATACATGGATACAAACACTCTGCTCCTTCCATGAAACTTCCTGAATGCTGAGGATGGACACTGAAAAATGAGATCCTTTGGTGGCAAAGCTGCCCATCAACGTGCTCTCTGTGGTGGGCAGGGCAGGCCCCTCTCAGGCCCCTCTCCTGCCCAGCCCCTGGCTGGCACTGCTGCCCAGGAGGATGGCTCCCTGTGCTCCTCACACCCTGCACCAGCAGCTGGGGCACCTGCCAGGGCTGGGAGGGCCAGAAGGAAAGGAATCATTGTCTCTGTGGGTCTGAAGTCCACAACTGTGCTCTCTAACCACGAACAGATGTACTTGAGTGGATTGAATATCCCCCCAGGATCTGATTTTCTCCAATTATGTCATTGGACTAATATAGAG